CTGCAGAGGAGATGATGTACCTTTTGGTATGGAGATGATACCGCGCCCTTTAGCTTTAGGCCACTTCTCAAGGCCATGAGGTCAAGTCACCTTGTGCTCTGTTAAGACTTGCAGCTGACAAGCCCAAATGCAAGTCTAACCAGACACCACCCAGAAGTTCTACCCAGCACTGACTTGTCACACAAAACCATTAGTAAATTAAACATTACTCATTGTAGAAGCACCTTATACATGATACCTTATCAGAAAGTTGTACAGAGTATTAATAAATTATGTTATTTAGCAAATGGATATTAAACAGTTTACTTTCTGGATGTCTGGGGAAACTCACAAATACATTTTCCAGATCTGCTTTTATGTCTTTAAATTTTGTTATTACTTTGACCTTTATTTTTCTTAATAGCTGGCCAAAGACACCAAAAGATGTTATGACCCAAGAGTCAGAGAGGGGTCCATATCAGACAGTTCATATTGCTCATGATGTTTATATATATTCCACTCATTTCGCACTACTACGTAACAACTTCTACTTTGCCCCTTAGGATTATTAAAGTAATCCTAAGGGGCAAAGCAGAAGTTGTTACGACTACCAAATCAGTGTGTGATGTTCTGTGTTGTCTTGGCAACAGTTGATTCCTATTTTCCCAGAACCCCCAGAAGACCTGAGTGGGTGGTACAAAACCAAATTTCCATTCATAACCTAGTTAGGAATGTACCAAATCCTGTGTTGTGTAGGTTGTTCTAAGTTACGTTAAACAAATGTGCTAATGCTTTTGTATGTTTTAGCCAACATTGTCTAAACAAACAGTGCGATGACAACAGTATTGAAACAAAAATGGTAATAAATCGAAAACTCATAAGACCATTGGCCCATTGTTTGCAGCTATTATTCTCTCATTTGTCTGGTTGTGTCTGTTCCCATTTCCAAATTATTAGCGGTGACTGCAGCTTTTTAATCTTGATAATAAAGTAGCTGCAGTATGTGATTTAACAAGACTACTAGAGTGTAACCACACTCAAACACAGCCCCTAAAAAAACAGAACTACAATCAGTTGAGTTTAAGAAACCAGGCAAAAAGTACAAAGTACAAGAAAGTGTAACTGGACCTATAAATGTTCCTCACAGACACAGCTGTTAGATGAAGAAAGATTAAAGGGAGACGAGAATGACTTCAGACCATTCTGGTTTTCGAACTTTGTCATCCCACTTTATAGGTTTTTATTCTTTTCTTTGGTGTCATCGTAAGACTGCAGGCGTGTCGTTCTGCTGAATAATGTGTGCATCATCTTTGCTTCTTGTGGACATTGAGACAATTTTGTGGTTTTTATACGAGGTTTATTTGCAGAGCATTAGAGCTAATTTGTTTATCAGTGATTTCATCTAAGGACATTTGTAACATGCCTGGTCGTGAGTTTGAGTGTTTCAGCCTAAAAAGATTATCAGACAATAAAACTGCGCAGTTGTTGTGGCTTGTTCTTTTACTTCTTTTCCATTGTAACATTTTAACAAGGCTCTGCTTCTTGACTCACATTTAAACAGTTCAAATTGCAGCTATGTAGTTGTGGATTGATTCTCACTTTCAACAAAATAACAAAACATTCCTAATTCTAATTTGAGGTCTAACATGAGGTCAAAGACTGAACCAATGCCCTGTTTTACAAATTTTCCTTCATGTCTGTTGAAGAAACTGAGACTTCCTCCCTCTTTCTAGACATCAACTCACAGGCAAAAGGAACAGATTACATCACCTCAATATAATTTGCAAACAAACACACAAAAAGGGGGGTCCAACAGCAGTGGTTTAATTAAACTATGAGACAGTTCTGAAAAAACATCTCTCTCAAGTGCCAAAATCACTTTGCAGAGTCACCTACCAGCAACGCGTGCTTAATGTGGATTACATGTACTGAGACAGGGGGGACAGGGAGACTGTGGATCTTGGGTAGACAGTCTAAAATTAAAGCAACTAAGTAGGATCACTCAAGAGGACAGCCTGGAGGTTGAGAAGACAGGTAAGACTGCTCAGGACAGGTCCCAGTGGCAGAGTAGGTAGACAAAGCTGCTTGAGAGGATAGATCAAGGGCGAGGCAGGCTGATAAGAGACTGGTGGTAAAGACTGAACACATCTGTAGACCAGGTAGGAGGCCAGTGTAAAGGTAGAAGACCTCGGAGGGTAGAGTAGGAGGCTGTCCTCCAAAGGCTGATGGCAAAGGTGCTCCCCTCTTAGACTTACACAAGCTGTGTCGTCAGGTACAATGGCTTTGAAAACATGCATGGGATCTGATTTATATTTAGACTGCGTCTCTCCCACAAATCTATGTCACCATATAGTTACTCTGGAAGGCATTGCCTTGGCCTCTAGTACTCCTGTGAGGAACACTGGATATATTTTTCACCAAGATATGTGCTTTAACTCACAAAAAGGGCAAGTCTGTAAGAAAGCCTTCTTCATTTGTGCAATCTTGTCAAAACCCAGAACATGCTGTCTGAAAATGATACTGAAAAACTAGACCATGCATTTTTACTTGTAGGTGCTGCTATAATTCCTTATTATTGGGCTGTCTCAATAACTTTTTGAAAAACCTTCCTTTGATCCAAAAAGCTGTAACCAGAGCACTGACGGGAACGAGCAAGAGAGGTTGTTTATCTTCACTGGCTCTCTGCAAAATCCAGAATAACATTTGAAATCCTTCTCCTCATGAACAAAGCCTTTAGTGGTTAAGCTCCATCTTATCATAAAGACCTTATTGTACTATAATATTACAATAAAGCCCTCTGTGTTCAGAGTGCAAACTCACTTGTGGATTATAGAATTTTCTCATGTAAAATGGGAGGCAGATCCATCAGCTATCAGGCCTCTCCCTCCTTATCTCTTCTCTGGAACCAGCTCCCAGTTTAGATTAGGGAGGCAGACACCCTCTCTACCATTCAGTTTAGTCCTGTTCGATAAAGTTTATAGTTAGAATTGTCTAATCCCTTGGTTATGCTGCTCTATGCCTTGACCCCTGAGAGACTCCCTGCGACGGACTGAACACCTCTCCTTTGCCTTCCTCTCTTTGTCTCTCTGTACATCCACATGTCACGTTGCATCTCATGAACTTTGTGTCTTCTCCATCCCATAGTTTGGCTCCAGAGCTGCATGTTTCTTATCTGTCCGACCCCACCAAGTTGTTGTTGCATCTGTTGTTTGTCTGATGTCTATCTGCTATCCTGTTCTTTCTCCTCTTTAACCTTACCTAACCCCAACAGGTTAAAGCAGATGGCTGCCCTCCCAGAGCCTACTTCTTTCAGCCGGTTATTCTTGTGACAGGAGTTGTTTCTTCCCACTGTTGCTGAAGAGGTGGCTGGAAGGAGCTCTTTGCATTGATGTGTTTCTTTCTATTATGTAATATTGCAAGGTTTTTACCCTACTATGTGTGGTGCTTTCAGATGACTTATGAATTGGCACTATATCAACAAAACTGAACTGATTTGAAATAAATCTCAAACAACTTTTCTATCTTCATTTTTATATGGATATACTGTCATAACTTGTATGACCCATCACTGAAATATCACACTTTCATCCTTCCCTTCATGTCTGAGTATTTGCCAAGTTTTGCTTCACTGACAGTAAACCAAAACTTCAACATCAAAGACTGCATAACTAAAGCAGAAAGTCATGTCACACCCAAGATGTTCTTTGGCTTTGCCTTTTCATTTGTAACAGACAAAGTGGCTTCAATTAGGATTTTTGTGGGTTTCCCACAGGCAGCCTTCCAGAGAGGTTTGGAAAAATCATGTTAATTCCTATTTTTTGTCCTGTCTACCAGATGCTTGGTGAGTAGTGGGATGAGGAATGTTGAGAGCTAAGACCAAATTTGGTGTTTTGTGTCACCACCCACTGTAGATAGTGACTGTTTCAAAGACAATGTAAAAGCCCCACTGTGTAACATGAATTGCTGTGCTTGGTGGTAAAATGGTCAAGAAAATATCTTTAAAATTCACTAACTCATCTTCTTGGAAGGCACTGGCAGTTCAGGGGAGTGCACACGTAGTGCTCTCTGTACCTAGAATTTGCCTCTAAGTAAATCGCATTCTCAAGATAAGAGAAATTCCATGCATATAAATATCCAAGATCTTTAAATCTTTAATATTGCTATGCATGATTTAGTTTTTGGGACACTTTAAATAAGTGTTAGTTGTATAAAATCTTTCTTATCACGTCACAACAGTGTTGTCTTAGTTGAGAGACGGTGGATACTTAAAGCAAAGGCTTTGCTGTCGTCTGCATACTAGTAAGGCAAAGAGTAGGGAGGACTGTATATTTCATCAGATGTTTATGGTTCCATTGTGTTTTGATTTTTATTTTTCATAGGTTTGCGTGTGATTTCTGGCTAAGCTAAAAAGTCCTGTTTTTCACATGTATTTAACCGATAATACATTTATAATGTGATTACAACATCACAGAACACTATTATACTGAGAAAACTATTTGGTGTTTATTTTTTTAAAGGGGAGTCACAGCGTATTTTTGTCCTGGCTGTTACCCAGCTAATGACAACCTGCAACATTTTTCACATTCAGACATCCTGACATTCAACGTGAGCCATGAGTAAACATGACTGTCTTTTCTCCTCCGGGGAAATGTACTGACAATGAAAAAAAAAGGACAGATAGTGTGTGTGTGTGTGTGTGTGTGTGTGTGCGTGCGTGTGTGTGTGTGTGTGTGTGTGTGTGTGCGTATGTGTGTGCGTGTGTGTGTGTGTGTGTGTGCGTGCAAGTGAAATGGGAAAAACAGTTAAGTGACAAGTGATTTTCCATATGCTTTGTCATGCTTTGAGCAGAAGAGACAGACAGTTGATAGTGAGAGGGAGGGAGAGTGGATGTGTATGTTCATGAAAAGGAAGTTTGTCCAGACAGTTTGGATGACGTCATCCTTCCTAATAACTTCCCCGTGTCTGTGCGTGTGCGTAGGAGGGGGGTGGAGCTTCAGACCATGCAGCTCTACCTTATAAAAAGATCCAAACTTTGCCAGTGAGACTCAAACAGCAGCAGCAGCAGCAGCAGAAAAGAAGAACCAAGTTGAAATAACAGAATCCAGCTGTACTACACACCTCAATCGCAAGGTAAGGACTTCCACTCGGCTAAACATTTAGAGTTTTACCAATTAGAGTTTGCTGGCAGACTTTTTTGTTATTGATTTGCATTAACAGAATCTTGGAAAGCCACAGGGAATAGAATCACTGTCAGTGTTTGGTTCAAACTGACTTTAAATGTCTGTATGTGGTTGATGTGTTACTGTCTGTTAGTGTAAAATAATAACAAAAAAAAAAACAAAACACTGGAGAAGTAATGCATGGCTACATGAAATGCCTCATGATTATAAGACATTAAGCACAAACATGTCTAGATAAAATGTGAAATATTGAACATTAAAACAGTGGCAAATAGGAAGAGGGGTGTTTGATTTATTCACCACAGTAACCAGAATTAAATAGATATAGTTGTCATTAAGAGAAAAGGTTTTAATGATCATGGGCTTATTGAGTGTTGCCAGTTTGACACTATTTCTTGAGGTGTTCCTGTATCTGTAAGTGTTTTTCATATCATTTTGTTATAGTATCATCAGTGGTCAACAGTAACATTGCAGTGCATTAATTCAATTTTATTCATAAGAGAAGACATTAATGTAGATGTTTAAAACCTAGTAGTAAAGCAAATGTTCAGGTGCTTAATGTTGCCTCAGTTATAAATCATTTTCCAGCATGTTTCCAAATCTTCCTGTCGACTGCCATTCAAAAAACAAACAAAAAAATCATATAAAATCACTCACTGCAAACATCTGCACCGAGAGTTGTAGGACATATCTTCTAAACATGCTTATGTTATGGCTTTGAAACCACTTTTTCTAACTGAAAGTATGCATGACTAGCAAGACATAGTAAAATGTACAAAATACAGAATAATAATAAAAATGTTATATAGTCATAGTAATCAAATTATATCATTTTTATACTCCTTAATGATGTATTACTTGACTTCAGAGTGAATTTAGTTGTATATCTATTGATCCAATACTGCAAATATTGAGCAGTATCAAAGCTGTTTTGAAAGATAAAAAGTGTTTGAAGTTCTAAAATCACACACAATACAAGCATTATGACACTCTTCAGCCACTTGAGTAGTTGCCAGTGGACTCTTTGCACAACTGAATAATTCAACTGTGTGTGCTTTTCTGGCGGTTGACAGTGAAAGTATGTTTGCTCAGAGCTGAAAGTGAGCCATTGCACAAACAGAGACTTAGGTCACAGCGCTGACCTGTCATCCAGTGTTGTAACTATAGACACTCCATTGATGCCTACAGTGGAAAACCAATTTTACTGACACACTGTGTTCACGGAAATGCATTAAAATCCAATATGAGTCATGCAAACACACACGTCGGTCAATGGACATTGCGTAAACCTATATAAATTTCCTGGGGACTTAACCAAACCTAATCTTAGCCATACTCAGTGGCGTAGTGGTTAGCACTACTGCAGCACAGCAAGAACATTTTAGGTTCAAACTTGTTTTTAGGGGGCATTTCTGTGGGGATTTTGCATACTGTCCTCGTTACTAGGGTGAGGTTTTCTCCCACGAACCAAAGAAATGTATGTTAGGTTTGTGGGTGATTCTAAATTGGCTGTAGATACGAGTGTGAGTGTGCATGGTTGGTTTGTTTTTTGTGTTGACCTTGTGATGGCAACCTGTCCAGAATGTACATCAGCCCTCTGTTACCTTCAAAAGGACAAGTAGAGCCTAGCTAAAGGATGCATTGTTTTTCACTTTCTTATTGTTTTGTTGATGCACTACCATCGTTAAGTTTTTCGTTCAAACTTGTTTTTCTTTTGTTTGTTTTTTTCTTACTCGTTAATTTTCCAGAATATAAAACTTTTTTTTCTTTCCTGTTAGAGCATTGCATTATAGCACTGTTTCTTCTTAATTGGAAACATCCCACAAATAAACATGGTTTCCCCGCAGAGTCACTTATAAAAGAAAAGCTTGTTCATCTCTCAAGAATGGAACATTCTGCTCTGTTGATATTCATCCAACAGATTTTGCTCTCTCTTGGGATAAGCTGTTATATTTACACTGCCATGTCTGACGCATCCTAACATGTTAGTGGAAAGACGAGTCAGAGCGCCTTCAAAGGGGACCGTGTGTGTTGAGTCTAGGAAAAGATGTCTGAGATGAAGATGTTTTTTGAATAAAAAGGTTTTACTTGCAAACTAAATCTGAATGCAAATCAAATTTACACCGATTGTCTTCTTTCTTTCCCAGAATGCTTTGCGTGGCTATTTTCCTGTTGCTGACGATGAGCAGAGTGGGCCTGGGTTCTCTGCAGGACAAGCAGACTGACTTTGGCTTGAAGGTGTTCTCTTTGCTGGCCCAGGGCTCCATGAACAAGAGCGTGGCTTTTTCCCCATATGGTATTTCATCTCTTCTCACCATGGCTCAGCTGGGTGCGGATGGAAAAACCCGTGAGGCCCTAACTACAGCAATGGGCTTTTCTCTGCAAGGTGAGTAAAACATAGATCAGGAGAGGTTCTGAATCATCTGTCAGGAAGTGGGCCAATTGTAGTGTCTCTTAGGAACTTCATTAGAGCAACAACTCCAAAAAATCAGTTGCATCCTGTGCTGTACAGGTATAGAACATATAAAACACAGATTTAAAACCAGCAAAGCTCATAAATGCATGATAAATATGAAGAGTAACAATAATGAAAAGCAAATTGTAAAAATAAGACCTTCAGTATTACAGGTCACAGCTGAGGTGTGGATTTGGTAGCCTGGAGCATTGGTTAAAAAAAAAGAGCATCGAAAAAAACCCTGTCATGCTGCTTCTCTTGCAGAACGAGGGATGCTTCGGGAGCAGCGCCTCCTACAAGCGGACCTGGGCAGAGAGGAGGGTTTGGAGATAGCCAGTGGGGTGATGGTGGAGAGGAAGATGAGTTTGGAGAAAAGATACCGCCGAGTCCTGAGCAAAGCTTTCCAAACACACCCTCACCAGGTGGACTTCACCAATCCAGAGCAGGCTGTCAGCATAATCAACGCCTGGGTCTCAGACCACACTGCAGGTACTGACATCCACCAGCTAGCAATGAATGTGCAACCTCTATAGCTATTAAGGAGGTTGTTTTTTGTGTCTACCCATGTGACCTCTGTTTGTCTCTTCTGCAGGTGCTATCCCTGAATTCTTGGCATCTGGATCTCTGACTGATGAGACCCGTCTGGTTCTTCTTAATGCCCTCCACTTCCAAGGCCTCTGGAAGGTTCCCTTTGACCCCAAACTGACACAGGAAAGGATGTTCCACTGTGCCAATGGCAGCACTGTGCCTGTACACATGATGAGACTCACCAACCAATTCCACTATGGTAAGTAGAGCCAATGCACTTGTCAAACTCCGATGACAGATTTCTGCTTCTTCAGTAAAAACAAAAATACAACTCTCTCCTTTGCCCTAATCAACAGGGGAGTTTGTGACCGCTGATGGGGTGGATTACGATGTAATTGAGATTCCGTATGAAGGCAACTCACTGAGCATGCTCCTGGTGTCACCCTTTGAGCCGGAGGTTCCGCTGAGTGTGCTCAGCGCAGAACTGAGCAGCCAGAAGATTCAGCAGTGGAGAGCAGAGCTGAGGAATGTCAAAAGGCAGCTGGCCTTTCCCAGGTAAAGGAGACAGGGTTAGAGTATTTGTGTGCGTGTGTGTGTGTGCGTGTGTGTTCCTGTGAGTAGCTAAAAAAAAAAACTGTGATTCAGACTGATTACATGGCTTTGAGCCTTAAACAAACCAAACTAAATCAGCGGATTTGTGTGTGTTTTTGCAGGTTTACTCTGAACTCTGAGGTGGATTTGAAGACTGTTCTGCTTAACATGGGACTGGGTGACATGTTCAACCTGGCTGCTGCTGACTTCACACGCATCACCTGTAAGTTGACCTCCTATTCACAGATCACTGAGTTCATTCAAAACTTGTTTTTTCTTTTTTTTTTAAGTGCACAGTTTTCTTTGCATGTGTTTGTAAAGACATAGTAGGAAATCTGTGGATACAGTTTAGTGGCTCCATAAAAGGAACAGATGCAAAGGATGATGAGGCTCAATTACAATCTGCAATCCCTCCAAAAACATTCAATTCACATTACTTTTTATTCATGATCATGTCACAGAAACATAGTAAGCAGAATGCAATCATATGAACAAGGCATCTAATCTGTGTGTGTGTTTCTGCCTTTCAGCTGAAGAGAGGCTTTGTGTGTCAAAGATCCTGCAGAGAGTGAAGATTGAGGTTAATGAAGAGGGAACCAAAGGAGCAGCGGCATCAGGTAACCTCAGAACTGAACCTCTCTCCTTCATATGCACTCACAGAATGATTGCCAAAACTAGAAAAAACACAACTCAAGTGGTTTTAAACTGGAGTTATCCTTTAAATGCAGTCAAACCTCACATTTCCTGAATTTTTTTTTTTTTTTAACTCAAATAAGCTTTCGTGCAAAACGAAGTGAAATATAGAAATTTGAAGGAGTCCCAGATACTACACCACATATTTGTAATAAACTTGGAGACACAGACCTTAGCTTTTCTCTTTTCATGTAGTTTTAAAGAGATTTACCGGTTTTCAAAACAACATGTTTTAAATTGTGTAACTTAGTTGGTGCACTTGGAATATTTACCATTATATAAAAGGTAATAACAGACTAATTTATGGTCCAGTCTCGTAAATAGGCACAGTGCTAAATATAGTTTTTAGACATTTATTATTTCAGATAATATTATGCAGCTAAGTTACATTTTCCTAATTATATTCTGTGTTTAATCAAACTACAGCAGACAATTATGAGACAAGAAAAACACTGCACAGGTTTCTTATCAGAACTGATGTTTAAAAAAGAGCCAAAGCCAATTTTGTACACATCCCTTAATCACATTCCATTAAATATTTTTTATTCTTTTCTTCTATCTTTTAGCTGCTGTTATGTTTTCCCGTATGGCAGTGGAGGAAATCACTCTGGACCGACCTTTTCTCTTCCTTATCCAGCAGAAGCACACAGGTAACAATCTAAATACAATTTCATAGAAATCCTATTTCACAATACCAATTAGTGGAGCTGTCCAGGTAGAGTGAATCTCATGTTGTTGTTTTTTGTTTTCTGTGTTCAGGTGCCGTTCTGTTCATGGGTCAGTTCAACCAGCCTTAACATCAATCACCCACTCCAAAGACCAGAAGCCTGTGCTATGAAACATAATTTGGGGTTGCTGAGGTGACTTCAGGTTTAACCCTGGGTTTTCAGGGCTATGACGATGATTCAGTTCTTACTGGGTACATCTTCATAGTAACCTATATCTAACACCTAACCCACTCCGGAGCAGGTTATATTCAATATAACAGATCAAAGCTTTTTAAAGGACCCCTACTGATCCATCAACTCCCTTGGAAAGAACATCACCATTCATAGAAGATCTCATGGAGTTCGGTGTGGATAGTAAGAGGGGTTGCAACAGTATTACTGCTGTAAGCGATTAAAACATTAAAGCATTATAGCCTACTTGCTGACCTTACAAGATTTGCAGTAAGCCTATTTACCAAAATGATGACTGAATGTATCATTAATTAATTCATCGTCCACATCGCCATGAAAATGAGTTTATTTTTATTACTTAATTATTTATTGTTTACATAATTAGTCTATTTTGTGAGTAGCATGTACTTTACAGAGAGAGATGTTACTGCATTCAGACTGGCTACATAAGTAGCAAAAAGAAGGTGTATTTTTTGCTATCAGTTCTTACAGATTGTTCCTTGTATTGTGTATTTTTCTGATTTGCCTTGTTACAAAGTTGCATTTATGTTTTTGCAGTGTTTCTATTTATTAAATTCAATGGTTTTTACAAAGTTGCAGTCTCAGTGGTCGCTTTAGTTGAAAGTAGATTTGTGGAAGTCAACACTGACCCCCTGTGTCCTGACAGTCAAAAGTCATAGCATGACACTACCAGAGCTAAAGTCCCACTCTGCTCAGAAGTACCTACAAGCATGGTATTGTGCATTAGAACAATTAGAGAAAGACAATGTTGATCCATAGGCAACTCACACAAGCATGATGCCAAAACGTAAGCCTCAATATCACATACATTGAGTTTCCCACACAGTCAAAATATGTCATAAAGACATTATAGAAACTTAACTGAACTTTTTTGTGGAGACACAAACTGTTGTTTTAATTCCAAATGTATGAACGTCTTTAAACTTGTAACACCGCGTAATGTTAAAGTAACAGTATGTTCACACCACAGAGTGCCAACATGCAGGAACTCTTGGCATTGTGATACATTAAAATGAAGCTAATATGAAACCTCTTAATCATATTTGTATAGCAATTTTCTGAATCAGACATCACTAAATGCTTCACACCAAATGACAAAGGATAACCCATAATATACAGTACATGTCATGGTAAATGTTTATACATTCATAATATAGACATGATACAAGAGTAACAAATAAAAAAGGACACAATATATAAAATTAAGCAAACACTACACTGTTGGGTGTTGAGCTGCTTATTCCAGCTCCCTTAGGTGTCTCACAGAGAGTTACAAAGAAAGACCAGAAGTTACTTCAGAGGCTCAGTCTTTATTAGAAGAGCGTTTAAGGAAATTTATTGTGAAAAACCTCTTGATGAAGTTATTTCTATATACCTTATATGGTCAAAACAGGTTTCATATTTCATGTCAACTAATTTCTTGTTCAGTGAAATTGCCAAATTCTGGTTAACAATTATTTAGCTGTACACACAAAAAAACAATTTGGTAGATTTTTTTTAGACATGTCTTGGCATTAGGTTATCAAATAAAATAATAATAATTTTAAAAAATAGCTATACAGCTGCATAGTTCTCCTTGTCTCAATCCAAAGATAAAGTTAAACTGGGTAAACTGATTTCACTCAAAGTAGATTAAATGTGCTCCTTGTCAACTTCAGATAATTTAATTCTTCTGTGTTAATTACATCCATTTTATAACTGCAACCATCAAGTTAATTTTGACTTTAATAGTTATTACTGTGTTTCCAAACTAAATTCCTGAATTATTATTTTTTTTAAATCACATCTATTTCTTCTTGTTTAATCATTGATATTATTATATATCCCAGTAGAAACGAAGGGACAAAATACTTGAGAGCTCGATTGACATCAGGAGGAAGGAAGTGTTACCTGAGAGGCAAAACTCAGGGAAAAAAATGTTGCGCTTAGTGCGCATGCTTACCAGAGGAGGAGCTGTGTGGAGCAGCCAAGGAAGGGCTTCAGTTCAGCTCTAGCAGAGACACCTATCAGACACAGACATGGACTTTCACCGTTAGCTGTAAAAATAGGTCGGACCCAGCAGTGTAGAAGAAGAGTTCGTTTGAAGCGTGACAGAATAATTAAACAACCCTACGAAATGGTAAGTTACTGCCTCTCATTTGTCTGTGAGAGGCGAGACCTAAGCTATGCTAATGCTAGCAAGGTGTATGATTCCAGGAAGTGTCCACCTGCGGTAGCTCCACCTGTCTTCTGTCAGCATAGCCTGCAAGCTAACGTTCTATTTAGCATCATACGCTGTGAAACTTTTCTATTGTTCTCATACAGTGTGTGGCTTTCAGTCAGCGTATGACCCGTGCCATGTTAGCTGTGGCCGAATATCATTCAATAATGTTGGAATTTAGCACGACAGGCAAGGGTCAACTTAACATTTTGATAACTTTGTCGGTACAGGTAATACGTGCAGCCTTAGCTTTTTGTCAGTGTCCACGTCGAAACTAAGTGTTATTCGGCTGCATCTCTATAACTTGCTGCCAACCTACGATTTAATCACACAGGAGTGAAAAGATTAATCACATTATAGAGCTCAGAAAATGTTTGTTTTTAACGATGTGTCTTCATCGCTCAAATCTATTGGTACACCATATGGCAAGAACTGTGTGTTCATATTGTGTGTGATCACTGTTGCTCTTGGCTGTGTGTACAATGACAACTGTGGCTGGAAATGATGGTGAAACAACAAACTCAATGCCAAATGGTTAGAATAAATCATTTACAATCAGCAGTGCACTGTACAGTAGGCTTTTAGCATAAAATCAAAAATGCTGTTTTATAATCCAAAATAAAAACAGTAGGGCTACTGAAAAGTAGCTTTGGTCAGTCACAAACTTTTCTGCACCAATCAAATTGACATGTTTAGAATAAGCATCCAAGGGAATACTTCATATTCTCATCCACATATCCTGCCTCGGTACAACAAACAGGACCCACGCCTCCCGTATTGTGTGTTTGTCATGTACAACATAGACAGAGCGAGACTGGGAGCAGGCTGATGTAAGTGAACATATAAACGCCAAATTTAAATTTATAGTGAATTTTTTATTTGACTAGGTATCTTCTTGCCAGCAAACAAGTGACGAAATACAGGAACACACTGTGTTAAAGATGTTAGTGATACATTTTAAACTTTCTATGTATTATTGACACTGTGGCCTCTATGTATGTAGAGAGTGTAAAGCATAATCAAAAAGTAAAGGAAGTTCCATACTCTGAAAAATCTCAAAGGGTGTAGTACAAAGGCAAAAAATGACCCCAGCTCTGGCAAGAATGTTCGTGTGAGAGGTCAAAATGATTCCAAGGATTACCACCAAAGGCATCCTGATGATTTTGAGCAAATGTAACAACCTCTCAAGGAAGCCAGTCTAGCAGAGATTGTCCAAAGCCCGTGGAGTTCGACCCAGGAGGGCTCACCTGACATTTGGAAAAGCTCACCTGGGCAAACAACGAAGCTTTTGGTCCTAAATTCTGTAGTAGGATGGCACTCAAAATGTTTAGACATGTTTAGACTTTCTTTTGTGTGGTAAAGGAAAGGGGAAGAATTCAACCCCAAGAACACCATCCTCACAGCCAAGCACAGTCGTGGGAATGTAATACTTCCAGAGGTGTTTTCAGCCAATGTGGCAGGCGACCTTTACAAAGTAAATGATTCAATATTATTTAGCTGCGAGTGGCAAAAGTATGTGAACCTCTAAGATTTGCAGATCATTTATCGAAGTCAGCAGAGCTCTCTTTTAAAGTAAGATGTGTAATAGTCTCTGAGGTGACTAAGACACCTAGGATGACTTCTAGACAACTAAAGGCCTTTTTTTGCATTAGCTCATGTTAATGTTCATAAATATATCCCTGGGAGAACACAGAACAACAATGGTATGAAAGGCAGGGCTGCAAAGTGAAAAACTGCGACTCTCCAAAACAACAAACATTGCTGCCCATCTGCAATTTGCTAAAAAATTAAGCCACAATACAAAGAGAATTCCAATGAATAATGTCAGGTCGTCTGTCTGCGAACTGAATCTTAGAAAAAAAAGTGGATCATGCAGCAAGACAACAAACCTAAGCACACGTCATTCTAACAAAGAAAGGTTAACCCTTTAAACCCCAAAACCAGTGTTTTGAAAAATCACCAAAATTACAATATTTATCAGAGCAAGATACTGTAAACACACGAATCATTGGATATTCGACTTTTTTGATAATATCTGAGCAAATCATGTTTAAAATTAATAACAAATTTGAGCTTAAAATCACATTTCATCAAAATCACTATGTTCTACATGTGTTATTTAAAATTCACCAAAAAATAAATACAATTTGGCAGAGAATTTGAGAATCCATGACTGACTGAGCTGTGAACAGCAGTCACGTGACAAACACTGACTGCAGGCTGTTTTTATAAGGGCTGACACTAAGAAGTATTGTTCAATCAATTAATCTATCAGGTTCTTTTACTGATTGATCTAAATGTTTTATTTTGCTTAAAAAAAGTTACCATTTCATGTCTTTTTTTTGGGCAAACTATATATTATTGTAGAATGTAGCACAGTATGAGATGCAAACAAAGTAGGGATGCAAATCTTTCACAAATTTCTTTAATTTGTGCAATGTTGCTTCATATAGTAAAAGACAAGGTGCATAATTTTCGGTAACATCTTACTTTACATGTGCTGTTGGGCTGTAGAACCCTGTCCTAACACACCTTGGCTCTTGCACTAGTTTGTGTCATTTCCAGCAAGAAGCAACATATTGGTCAGATAAATATTCACTCTAAATCTAAGCTGTAAATTACATTGACTAGAGATAAATTTAAAAAAAAAACATCTTGCTAAACAGGTCACATAAAATTGTTTGTAAATTTCAAAAAATAGTTCGACATGAGAGGGCTCCAGACTAACTTTTCGCCACCTGGTCACAGGCAAAACATATGACTTGCTGAACATGTTCTTATCATAGACACTACAATTTACCGATGTTCCCTAAAAGCCCCACATTGCAAGCTGCGGTAGCTGCTGTTATCTGTGGTGTGCTCAAACAGGTGTACAACCAAAACTGACTTTCTAATGTCAGATTTGTCCAAAATGAAAACAGTGATTTTTTTATTTTGGTTTTTCGTTGCGGCCTTTTCTATGAGGTGAAAAAAACAACAGATGCAGGTGCACTCCGTTTTTCACAAGGAGACCTCATTTTTAAGCGGGAATAGCGCCGTACACTGAAGTTGTAGAAGTTCTACTTTTCACCACTGCGGTTAACACAGCAGCTTCCTGTGCTGGTTACAGCGACACTAATGCAGCTTCATGATCATCATGCACCAATGCAACCACTAGAATTTTTAACTCGCACGCTCTCGAAAAAAAGGTCGTCTGGAGCCCTGCATGATATTCTCTTTTGTGTAGTGTCTCCACAGTATAAACAGACTTGATGTTGACTGCAGTACAGGTGTCATGAGGTCTGGAAACTGGGTCATTCCATCTCACATCATCACATTTTTTTTGAACAATTTCTGCTTGAACATCTCTGATTTGCCTGAAACGTTTATTTTTCAAAATCTCAATCTATGTATAATTCCAAGGTGAGTTCCAAAGAAATTTCAGCTTTGAATATTAAATATTTACCGAGAGAAACATTTTTTGTTTAAATTGCCTGCTGACCCCACTTTTTTTGCACATTGAAAATTTGAGGCTGTTTGAACCATCTCAGGAACTACTTAAGATAAAAAATCCAGAAATTTCTACTGGTGTTTCTCATCATAGAATCTGCTGTATTGGACAAGTAGATTAAATAGTACAATATTATAGGGGAGTGAAAATGTTTTAAAAAGTGAAGCCATCATGAAGCCCCATCTTTGGGCACACATTAATCAAAATGATTTGAGATGGAATGACCCAAATGACTGATACTTGGATCTAATCTTGCAATTAACAGTGAGAAAGAAAATAACATCCCTACAGCTAAGTGTTTCACCTTCCTGTTTTTGACCAGCAATATTAATCAATGTTTATTCTCAATGTTTGGCAGATACAGCTTCATGAAATATGTATCAAACTCCTGTCATGAATGTTTTCCTCTCTTCCTAGTTTTTTCTTGTTTTGAATCTTGTTTCCCCTGCCTGTGTGTAGATGCGTTTCATGCTGCTGTTCAGCCGGCAGGGGAAGCTGCGACTGCAGAAGTGGTACACAGCCACAGCTGAGCGCGACAAGAAGAAGATGGTCAGGGAGCTGATGCAGATAGTGCTTGCTCGCAAACCAAAGATGTGCAGTTTTCTAGAATGGAGAGACCTCAAGATTGTCTATAAAAGGTAAAAATACACTATCCTAAATTTACATTACTGCTGACTTCTGGGAGTGTTTTCTGGAGTGTAATCATTGTAGGCAGTATTTTTTTTTTGACACTTCTGGGCAAAAGTTTCACACTTTAGTTAGGAGTCTGAGAGGAAATATGTTTTTTTATCTTCTTGTGTGAGACTTCAGCAAAAGAAAGAGCTTTTCCTGTATCAGAGATAGCAACAAAGTTGTGGTGAGAACAGGATGTTTTCGTGCTATGGGTTAGACAGAACTTTTTCGACAGAGAGTGTGGTTTGAATTTTGAAATTGTGTGAAATTTAAATTATTTAACTAAACAGGGGCACAATATGGGACCTTTTATAGAAAAATTATCAACTGCTCAGCAGATGTTTTTCAAGACTAGTACAGCTGTAGAACATTACTTTAGTCTGCTGTCATTGTGTGGTGTTTGCTTCCCTCTACTGGGCGTAACATGCGACAGCTACACACCTTGAGCACAAGCTGTCAAGTTGTCGCAAGTTACCCAGCTATCCACTGCAATATACTATAACTGCCTACGTTCTACAGAAATGCATTAGACAGAATCTATTTCCGTGATGGTATCTCTTCATGTGACTAACCAGAACTGGAAAGCTTTGACATCAGATTAAGAACAGTGTGTTTAAAGTACAGTCGCACAAGCTTTTGTCCCATCACTGCCATTTTGGTATACGTCTCAAAGCGTTAGTCACAGCTTGCCACTGGAATATTGACGGATAAATGACCTATGTATGAAAGGGGCTTGAATAACAGAATCCCATCACTTTAGCGGATTGATGAACCCAGCAATGTTCCATGTCTCATGTCTGAAAGCAGCTTTGGAAGATGGACAATAAGCCTTTATTTTTCACAAATACATTACAGCACTGTGAATACAGTTTTCACAGACCCCAATTGGGGTCAGGGGTGTAGGGTCAGCCATGATAAGGCAGGTAGGGTTAAGGGCCTTTGTCAAGGACCCAACAATGACAGGGGTTTGAACCTTTAACCTTCTGATCAATAGCCCAAAGCCTTTAACCAATGGTACAATTATCAATACTTTTTATTTATTTATTTCTTGGAAGAAAACAACAAATTCAAAACAAAATTAAGATTGTTTTACTTTCATTCATACTTAAATAAGTTAATATTCTTAAGTAGCACTCTGTAAGGACATTGTTTTGAACCAATCACTATTATATACCATAATGTGATCACTGACATTTAAGATAAATACTATAACTATTTACAGCTAAAGGAAGCAATCTATTTTACCTCTAATGTATCTTAACTGTAAGAGGCTTCCGTGTTTGTTTGTGAATTAGAATGAATATTTAAATTTGCCCCATTTTTTAGTAAACACAGTGTAGGATGATATTCGTTTATGTGTAAAAATCCCTTCGCTGTCATTTCCTTGGAGTCAACATCTAGTAGCTATCCAAGATAAGATAAGATAAGATATGCCTTTATTTATCTCACAGTGGAGAAATTCACATTGTTGATAGCAGCATTCAACAGAGGTACACATATACGAGACAGGAAAAAAAAGTACATATAAATATAAGAAATAGTGCAAACAGAATATGAAAAATGGGCTTCTGAATGGGGGGTATATAGAAAAGATATATGTATGTATATATATATATAAGGAGCTGCAGCTTAGAATTTTCAGCTTTGGTGAAAACAAAATAGGCATGGTGGTCGATACTTTACATGTCTATCTGTATGGCTTTATTTTTAAAATATGCATGCAATTTTGTTTTCTGCTCTGTCATGAAAAAACACTGACCATGTTTGTATTTGTGTGTACATCCATGCAGGTATGCCAGCCTATATTTCTGTTGCGCGATTGAAGAGCAAGACAATGAGCTGATCACACTGGAAGTCATCCACCGCTTCGTAGAGCTGCTTGATAAATACTTTGGCAGTGTAAGTGATGAGATTAGACAAGCCTTTAATAATCCCACAGCAGGGAAATTTGGTGAAGGAAAAATTAGTGGTAAAATGTTGTGCAAAAAATATAGGGACAACAGTAGAAAAATAAAGAGGAGATATACAAGAAGGTGTCTTTCTGTGATGTTTCGGAACTGCCAACTCTTCTCTGCATGCGATTTAAAAATTAAGGTTGCAGGGTCAAAAAAGAAGTTGGACTGTTCAAAAACGTGTCAAGACTTTCCCTGCTATAGAAAGAATGGATGACTTGTGTTTGTATGTGCAGGTGTGTGAACTGGACATCATCTTTAACTTTGAGAAGGCCTACTTCATTTTAGACGAGTTCCTGATGGGAGGAGAGATACAGGACACATCTAAGAAGAGTGTACTTAAAGCCATTGAACAAGCTGACCTGCTGCAGGAGGTAACAAGGACTTCAGAGTTTAACCCACCACTTCCATCATGTAGGGTTAGTGGTTAGCACATTATCACAAAAAGGACCACTATGCTATGGACCTACATGGGCTTGCCCAGCTACTACAGGCTGGCACACTGAAGTCTATACAGATGTGAATGTGCAACATAGACACAAAGACCAGACATGTTTTTGTGAGTAAAAAAAAAAAAAAAAGCGTCCTGAGGCTCTTCAGCCAGCCTTAGGGGAGTCATTTAGTGTAACTGTAATTGCAAGCATGTAATTTCTGAATGCTTTGGGTTTGCAAAATGGCTCAATACAATGTAACTGAAAGAGGTTTGATTGTAGGAATTTATGTCTAGTGCAGATATGTCCATTTCGTGTACACATTTGAAATAGTGTAATTGTATGCTCTGTTTTAATGTCTTTGTGTTTGTTTTTGCAGGAGGATGAATCACCCAGGAGTGTACTGGAGGAGATGGGATTGGCATAGTGCACAGCAGGGTTGTGAGAGACTCTAGATACAAGGCAGGGGGCGGCACCGTCTGGGATGAAACATGCTTGATTCTGTGTATTTGCCTGTCTTTGGGGACTGATGAACAGTTTTTAACTGGGGAAGAGACTCTACCCAGTTGACAGGCCCTTTAGCTGTGTGTGTGTTTGCGTGTGTGCGTGTCTGTCTGTCTGTGTGCGTGTGCGTGTGATACCTAAGTGTGAGGTAACGGAAATGGGGTACGTTTAAATTTTTTGTGTGGCTGCAGGAGAGTTGTGTGCTCATATTTTGAAAGGGGTGAAAAGGAGCTATCAGAGAATTAAGAAAGGAAACTACAGTGCATACTGATCTTTGTGTCACAATGAGGCAGATTTACAGTTTAACTGGAGTTTTATGCAAAAATGCTGGTTGAACAGGCATATCCTGTCATTGAGCTTTGTTGGGTACTAAATTAGGACTAAGACTTGGTCAGGAATTTGGTAACAAGACTGAAAAAAATACTCAGTGTTGTAGAACAGCATGAGCACATGACCACTACAAGCACATCAGTTAAGCTTGAATTAGAAAGGTCTTACAATTGGTAGGTTGGGTAATAACTTTAGCATCCACCCTCATTCTCAGTTATAATTTAGATAATGTGGCAGCTACAATGGCTTCAGTTGTTGTCTTGTGCATTAGATTAAAACCATGTTGAGACATGGTGTCCCCAGATGTTGCCGATAAAGATATAAGTATCAGATTACCAACCGGATTGAGGGCCGAATTTTAATTTTTTCTTTGCTTTTTATGGCTCCACTCTGAAAAGGTTCGTGTACTACCGAATTCAGAGGTGCTGTCAAAATTTTTCTGTGAGTGTATCAAATTTATTTCAACTGTGTTTGGTATTTTAAGATTTGTACTGTTTGGAAGTTCTTCCTTTATTTTTGATTGGCCCATCTTACCGAACGCAAAGGTAATAAAACTGCATTGTGAATAGTGAGCCAAACACATTTGAGATATGCACCACAGCCTCAAACAGATTGTTTTACATATAAACCACCCATATGTCCTGTAAGTGGACCTACGAACCCGATGAGATTAAAATTTTGAGTTTGTCTTATGCAATTTAACAAAGTGCGTCTGAGAATCACATCCCATTTGGTTTCCCTCCGCACAGCAGGTACAGTTCTGTTGGTACTACGAATGGATTGAAAGTACAATAGAATAAACTGGCTTTTAGACAAATGTATTTTACTGTTCCATACACATTTTTACAATGCTTTAACTTTTATTTTTGAATATGGGAAAATTTGATGTCTGTGTTAAACGCCAGCAGAATGGGTTAGGCAGAATGAGCAACGGCAGCTCAGGTAACATAAGTCAGTAAAGGAAAATAACAGGATTCTCTTCCTGTATGCAGTAGTACGCCTACAACCAATTTTGAACTGGTTATGGGAGCAACAGTTGCACAGAGTCATGTTGGGTCTGTACTTCAGGTTTAAGGTTAAGGTGTGGCTTGTTCCCCAGTTCTAAAAAAAAAAAGTCTAGCTCAACATCTTGTGTCAACATGATTTCCTTAATGACCTGAAAAGATGCCTCGGTCTTAACTTGCCTTCAGTTTGATTTAGTTCAGATCAGCTTGTCATCAGGCGAATGAGTTAGTCTAGTGAGTGGGAGTGTTAGAAGTTTCTTAAACAATGTGTGGTACGGCAAATGTACAAACAACTTTTATTTATGCTTACACAATTGGAGTTTGATAGTATTTTATTGAATCACGATACAGAGCTGATTCCTCTTTACATCAAAAGTCCTTTTTGTCAATATTTTGTAGCTACTTATTCAAATACTGAAAGTTCTGAGCCATCTCTGTAAAAACTGAACCTGTACAACTATACTAAACTGAAACTTTGGATCTCCTGCTACTGAAAGTGAATTGAGATCTGCAAATTCCTCAAATTGATGTTTCTTGACCAGTTTGATTAGGTTTCACCAGAGAAGACTTGCCATTCAGTTTTCTTTGTTGAACTACAGAAACACACAGCCCTCTGGTGACACTACAGTGATGTCTTATGTTTATTTTTTTTGACTGACTACAGATACCAGCTTTTAGAGAGCACATTCATTTTACAGACAAGTTTAAATTTACAAGTTACACAATTGATGTTAATTACTTACAGTTACCATCAATGTTTATCACAATAAAAAATATCCACCGAACCCAGCTCTACTCACATGTACATATTCTCCTCAGCACCTGTACCAGGGTTAGAGCTGATAATACAGAGTGAATATATGAAATGTTACACTCCTGGTATTTAGTCTTAAACTGGTGTGTGAGCTGTGGTGTGTTTGTACTGTATATTATTGTTACTTCATAAAAAGCTGTAGACGGAATTAATTTGTTGACTATATTATTAAAATTTGAAGGCTATGTCCAATAGCTCATAATTGATTATTTTCTCTTTCTCTCTCTTGCTATCTAAATTCTTCTACCACTTTCTTTCCACAGAAACTTAAATGTTTGAGACAATCAAAAAAAAAAAAGGAGAGGAAAGCTCTGAGCTGGCATGCTGCTGCTCGAGGACCATTCGCTCGTCCATAGACTGCAGGTAGCAGGCACAAAAGTCAGTTGAAGTCAATTTTATTTGTATAGTGCAGTTAACAACATATGCCATCTCACAGCACTTAACATGGTAAGGTATAGATCTTACAAATTCAAACAGAGGACCCAACAATCCAAAGTTGCCTTTGGACTCCCTCTGAGCAAGCGGTTGGCAACGGTGGGAGGAACCCAAAAAAAGCAAAAAGCAAAAGCAGCCAAATATGCCTTTGAACTATTGCCCCATGCGACTTACTCACTTACAATATTAAATTTGTGCTTATTTCCATCTGTGCTGTGTGGATAGGCACATTGTCCTGGAGCAACAGCTTGCCAGCTCAAAAACTGATTGCTTTAAACATTAACAGGGGCATCTCTGGAGATTTTTCATAGAGGTGGAAAGATGGGGCCACAGTATGGCTTGGGGTGGTACACAAAAACCAAAAGCAGTAACTGAATTTTAGGAATTTTCATATCCTGTTGTTGGATAGAGGCTGTTTAAAAACTATGTCAATATGAGAGTTAAGAAATTTAAATACTGATACCCATTGTTCTTTCTGACCTTCCTCTGGATTTTGGCCTTGATTTCCATGAAAGGTGCAAGCCTTCTTTGTGAATTCTCTTGCAGTTTCCCATTGCATAGATTGCGCTTTCTCTGCTGAAAGTCCTGGATTTCTTCATCATTCGTCAGGTATGGTAGTTGTTGTCTGGTTGGCAAAAGAAGATGGTTTTGATACTTACCTCCTGGGCAAGCCACATGTTCTGGAGGAGGTCACCATTGGTGTTCTTCTTGCTCATGCCGAAATTTCCAGTCATGGCCTTGTATGTAGTGTGACGTCCACGTCCCTTAGAATGAGAAGGTTGTCTTCCCTTGGTACACTGTCCACTACTTTGGCCAAATCCTGGAAGAGGGCTTCATGTCTTCCTCCAGGTACGTCATTGTACATGCATACAAACTGAAAAAGTAATCCTTTCCTATGGGCACATGTAGTCTCATGATGCCTTCTGAGATACCAGTGGGGAACATAATCAGATTAGAAGCAATCCTGGTAGAGATTGCAAAAGCTACAATGGCATCTCTCCTCCATTATGGTTTGCCAATCCGAAGTAGTTACACTCTTGGATCTGCGCTTGGCCTTCCATCCTTGTCTCTTAAGGGACAGCAAAATCTATCGCGTTCCAGCTCATTGACAACCCGAGCGGTTGTTCTCTCAGGTCTTGAGTCATTATCCAACATGATCCATACATTCCACAACACCATTGTTATTTTCACTTCCTTGCATTTTCTACCACTGTAGAGCAGAGAAGACCTGCTGGCTGTGGTTTGCCAGCCAGCTGTGTTCTGAGCAAGCTTTCTTTACACCTCTGTTATCAAGGGTTTCCCCTTCTGGGGCAGGCAGTGCTGTCCCTGAATAGGTCTGCCTGAGCATGCACACAGCTGCTGAAACCTCGTCGTTGCACAAGGTTCTACGAAGCAGAGCCCTCACATGTAAGTCACCTGTGTGCAGAGTTCTTGTTGGCAGCTTCCAGCTTCTTCATCCTGCTACCGTCACAATCTCTGTGACTGCGGGGCTTCTGTCAATCCAGTAGTTGGGTCAAGCTCTTATCCACACATCACACCTTGGGCTATGGTGAAGATTGTCTGCAAAAGCTATGCCTCGTAACCTGTTGCTAAGCGGTGCACTTTGGAGGTTGCCCTTCAGTGACCGCAGCTAACTGGCCTTGTGGTGCCATACATTGACCTCTCTCACCTGGGGTCTGTGCCATTTAGGCTGTTGGATTTCTCTGCCACGTGTGCCAACCAGCCCTGTTTGGGTACAGTTTGGCTGATGTGTAGCACCATGAAGAAATGCAGCTAAAATTTTAATAATAGAGTGGCTGTGTGCTGCCGTGAAAGACTTTTTCAATCGGCCTTCTTTATGTCCATTCAGGGCTAAGCAGCGGTGATGGCTGAAAGCTGAAGGGAAAAAGTGCCAGCCACACTCACTATCACACTTGATGCATCACACCACTCTGTGCACACACCATCACTTTTCGTAGGTGACGATAAATGTACAACTGGACCGAAGTACACCAACTCTTCTCTTTTTTGATTTTCTGACCTGGGTTTAACCTGTGTCTGTAAAATCAATCCATATAGGCTATACAGTACATATTATAACTGTTTAAAATGCCAAACATCCAACATTACAAAACAATGCGAAAATGGAGGGACGGGCGACTAACCATATCAGCACTGTTTGTTAGACTTTTTTTATAGCAGATATTTTGATTTCTCTTTGTCACAGTAGGAAAAGCACAGATAGAATTAATGATGAAACAGTTTCCAGTAAGCCATGATAGTAAACCAGTTTGTACAAAAGCAAGGCTGCCCTCATGGAATGCATCCATCAACAATACTCGTTTGTTGTGACATGAAAAGGTCTTGGATGAAAAATATACTGTAACTAAGATTATTTGCAATTAGCTGAAATGGTAAAACATGGAGTAAACAAACATTCACCCTGGAGGCTGATGCTGATTTGATGGCTCCATATAAGCAAAGCAGGTAATTTTTAATTTAAATTTTTAAAGTGTAAAGGGGACGGTCAAAAGGATTCTCAAAAGCCCCTTCTTGACATGCATCTCATCCTGTAATCTGATGGTCTGGACTTACATAGCGCCTTTCTACCTTAGCGGTACTCAAAGCGCTTTACAATGTGTTTCTCATTCACCCTCTCACACACCAATGGCTTCGACATGTGGAGAGGCAAGGGATTGAACCACCAACCTTGCGATAAGTAGACAGCCCTCTCTACCAGCTATCCCCAGCTGCCCATCTGATGGTAAATGAGCATGCTGAGTGCATGTTAGAGCGTGTTGTCCACTAATTGAAGGTTGGCCGGTCGATCCTCAACCCCTCCTCCCTGCCCAGTGTCCTTGGGCAAGACACTGAACTCCAAGTTGCTCTCAATGGTAGGTGAACAGCTCTGCCTGAATTTGTATGTGTGAACCTAGCTCAGGTTAAAGGGGTTCTTTTTTTTTTTTAGAGGGGACTATTTACCCTATCAGGCTACAAAAGGAAATGTCCAAATGTCCATTTCTGTGATTGGAAAAAGAGACACCAACAACTTAGAATAGTTATACTCACCAATAGTGATTTGTATGTATAGAAGTATTCCTTCCCTGCAGCATCAAGGACCATTGGGATCCATATGAGAGAGAGAGTTGTGTACATTTGCACAAGTGGAACAATGCCACACTGGTAACTTCAATAAACTCTTGTAATTCTTAATGATCCTGAAGAGAACATTGAAAGTGGATCACTTCCAGCCAGGATCTGACAGCAACTCACTGTGTAGGTCTGCTTGTCTTCACATCAGACAGGTGAGTTGTCACAATCAACTGGCACTTTAGTTTCGAGCTGGTTAGGACTATTTTCTCTTTGTTTATTACATACCTGCATCAGACAGTGGTCGGATCCACAAGCATCTCCAAGGAGAGAAGGATTCTTCAATAATTAGAATTATAAATTATCCCTGACATAAAGAAAGAATCGATCAGGATCCAAAAGCAAGTCTCACTGTGTACTTTTTTCACCTCAGACAGACTGCCTCACAGAGTCACAGTTATCAGCTGCAGCTGAATATTTTTAGAAACACATTCAGCTCTTTTGGCCAAGTATGTGAGCATGTACAAGGAATTTGATTCTGGATCGTCTTTAGCTCTCAAAGCACTTCTACTAAAAAAACATACTTGCATTTAAACAAGGGAAAAAAGTTACAGAAGGAAAATGAATGTTAAAGTAAGATGCACAACTACAGACATGTAGAAAAGATCATGTTTGAAGTGAACCGGAGTTTTAGTGCAAAATGACTGAACCGAAGTTTAGTGCAAATACAGTTAATAAAAAAACACCATGTTATTGACATACTTTATACAGGAGGTAGGTTGATGATAGTGCAATGGAACAGAGAGCAGCGTTTCTTGGATGATATCAAACAGGTACATGATAGTATGTACAATATGTACCTATGTGATTCACTGTTCAAACTCATCAGTTGTTCCTGATTGTTTTAAATGTTTGTAAGAGTGATGGCCTATGAGGAGGAAGTGTTTTTGTCAGTGGTTGTTTCAGCATTCAGTGCTCTGTGGCGCCTGCCAGAGGCAAGGAGTTGGAACAGGTTGTATCTGGGGTGTGATGGTACCTGCCTGTTTCCTGACTCTGGACAGAGATAGACTGCAACGAACAGACAGGACTGCCGATGACATCACTATGGGCGACCGACCTTCCATCCAGGACTTGTACATGTCCAGAGTCAGGAAACAGGCAAGTACCATCACACCCTGGATACAACCTGTGAGGAGGAAGTGTTTTTGTCTGTGGTTGTTTCAGCATTCAGGGCTCTGTGGCGCCTGCCAGAGGGAAGGAGTTGGAACAGGTTGTAGTGATAGTGATGTCTTCTGCAGTCCTGTCTGTCCGTTGTAGTCTGTCTCTGTCCTTTTTGGTGGCTGATCCAAACAAGACAGTTACTGAAATGCAAAGAACCGACAGCTATAGTTAGTAAGCTAATGATAATGATTCTGTCCAATTGAGGACCTCAGAACTGCTTTTAATATTAAACACATACAATTTGATTTACATTCATTGATTCATTCTGGGAAAAAATGCAATCATTACTACTCCCTTTGCAATCCAAATCAGTATGTGACATGAAAATTAAGTGTCCTAGAAATGTAATCCTACAACTGCGGTCCTGAAAATACAACCTCCTTTGTTGCAGACACACTGTATTCACCCCTGGTGGTCTGTGAACCATAGGCCAATAAACAAGCATGAAATAAGTCAGGGTATTCTGGAATTTTA